TTATGTAGACAGGATAATAATATAAGCCAGGAACAAGTTCTAATTTGGTATTTATGAACACTGTGTTACTTATCAGTACTGTAATAATTTGGTATCAAGCTGCATTCACTATCACACAATAAGGCAGAACAACACAACCCAACTGTCTGTGCATAAATATCCATACATCAATTTTAAAAACAAATGCTGTCTCTGCAAGGGGCACTTAAGAAGTCTCATTATAACTCACATTTTCCTCCACCACACAGTGCAGCCACTGACTTATGGCTGTTTTATCACTGATATTTAAGCAGAGTTGTGGTTGTCTCCATGGTACTATTTTGTTTTGAGAGCAAGCTGTAGGAAATTTTGTTATGATGGAAGCTCACTGGCAGATCATGTGCCCAGAACACTCCTAGAGACACAGGTCAGCTCAGGGATTCTTATTCAGTCATGAATTGGCTGAAGATGGATGAAGCTCAGTTGCAGAAAGATGAGGTAGAATAAAACTTCTAACACTGGGGATAAAACAAGGATCCTGCACTAGCACTAGAGACAAACATATGTCCTTCTCTAACACCTCTCCCATGATGGCACTAATGTTAAAACCAGAGTTGGTAAAACTCATCCTCAGCCTGTCATTAACGGTCCAACCTGAACTCAAGACAGGAAAGAGTGGCACGAGGTGAGAGGTTTGCTGCCTCCACAGCTTGCTCGGGGACCTCCACCTGCTCCTGCCACCACTGTACGTGCTGCAACATAGTGATGCAGAAGCTACCTTGGAGGAGCACCAGAAGATGAGGGAGGAAAAACTGGCTGTTGCAGTAGTATGGAGTCTCAGAATGAGACAGCATTCTGCACTCTGCAGCAGCTGAGCACAGCCATTTTCAAATAACCAGAAATATCTATCCCCCTTCAGGCACTCTTTGGGGACACGTCTTTATCACTTAGAGAAATTACTCTAGCAGCATTTCTGCTAAATCATTGCCAAGCTGAAAGTTTTCCCCGAAACAGCCAAGATGCTGCATTTTTTCACTCTACTATGGGGAATAATCCATCACATAAAAACATGCAGCACTTGAATCATAAAGGTCACTGTCTTGTGTTGATATGAATCATGCCCTGCAATACTACTGCCTCCTTTATTTATTGCACAGCAAGATGATCTTAATTACTTACTGCAAGCTAAAAGGTAGGACATCCAGTTCAGGTAGCATTTTAGGAAAGTTACCTTCTTATTAGGCTGTCTCTGCTTGCTGGATACTATTCCAATTGTTCTAGATACCTTGACATGTCTCTACCCCAGTGTCTCAGAAAAGAGGATTCTGCAAATGCTTTATACAATAAACATTTTGGCTTAAACATAACCACCTAAATCAAGCAGTCCTGGTTATTTCATAGACAGATAAAACAAGTGTTTGAAACTACGGAGGTGGGCATTAAATAAAAGAAACAAGTGCACATGCAAACAAGAGAGTAAATTCTAAAGACTTTTGCTACATTTCTGGATAATTTTTATGTTTATTTTCTCCTTTTTTTTCTTGTTGTTTCTCAGGTATTTTCATGAGTGTATTATGTACAGAAAAGACAATGCCATTCTTCTTAACAGCTCGTTTTCAAACAATCATTCAAGGTTTCTCCACATCAGAAAATTACTAGTCTAAAAAAAAAAAAAAAAAAAAAAAAAAAAAAAAAAAAAAAATCAAACCTGTTCAAAGTAGTGGCTCCTGGAAAACTGGACTTAAGATACTCCTCACTATTCCAACCACAACAAACTTGTGCTCTGAATTTTTAGTTTTCACATTAAAATAAATTAAAAATCTCTTTCAAGGAGGGCATTGTTGAATGATTTAAGAATTAAAAATCTCAAATGGTCTCAGAAATCTTACAGTTATTTATGCATATGCCCAAAATAAAATATGAAAGCATTAAGAATACTACTGAAAAAAATAGTGACAGAAAGCAATAAGAGGCAAAACAATTTTCTTCTCTATATACAGAAATAATTTTACATAAGTAACAAGAAATGTCAAAAATACACAATTTTGAGTACAAAATAATCATTTCAACAATAGATCTGTACAATTGAGAACAGTGTAAGCAGCATGCTTTGACTGAATGAATTAAACTGCAACATACTTCAAAATACATTCATTTAAATCCTCCATACTAAAGATGTCTGAAAATAGAACATGGGGAAATACAGATTAGTAATGACTATGATCTCTGGAGAGGAAGAAAATTATAATTCCCCAGCAAAGTCAAGAAGGATCGGTCTGAGTTTTTAAAATCCTCGGTCTTGGTCAAGACCATTAAATTGCCTCAGGAAACCCACTTCTGCCAATATGTATGTGTTTGAACATTACTCATCTCAGCGAGGTTGTGCAGGATTCTTAGCAGGATCACAGACAGCAAGACTGAGCAGTTCAGAGGTCTTCAACTCGGTTCTAGGACTTCAGCTGTAATTATCAAGGCACTGCTCTCAAGACAGTACATAGACACAATAGCTCAAATGATTCTGTAAATACGTAATTACCCTGGGGATACTTCTACTCCACCTTGTTTCTTTTTTTGAACACCCTTTTGTTCACTATATGCTTTGATCACCTCAAAAAAACTTAGTAAGTGTGAATACTGTATCACTATGGAAATCACCTCTGAATTTGGGCCTCACAATATGGGCTTCTTTTCTCCAAGGATCAGTAGATGCAGCTTTGACCAGAAACCTTGTTACAGTCAGTGTAAACAAATGCTTAATTATCAAGACAAATTAACTGCCTTTGATGTTTGTAATTTATACTTTTCAGCCAATAGATATCAGAGATCACGAAAATCCCAAAAAACGTTTTTCCCTCTTCCTTCAGGAATGTAATTTCACTCATTTTCCTGTATTGCTCATCTTCTTCTTGAATTACTGTGTTTTACAACATTCAAATCTCTTGCATCATAGAGCTGGAAGACAGCAAAAATACCTGTTCCTGCCATTTAGACAATGTACACTCTCACTCTGTTACATTAACTCTAAGCACAATTTTGCTGCTTTCAGAGGTAAACAGGTATGACAGCTTTGAAACAGAAAATCCATACTAACCAGGTCATAAACCTGTGCTGTCAATGTAAATGTAATTGAAAAATAAAAGCCTTACTGCAAAGACACACTAAACCAGTCTGCTTTATAGTGGAACTCCTTTAGATCAGAAAAATCTATAGCATCATCAGTAAAAGTGACAACATGGGAAAGCATGGACATCGATAACATCACCACTTCCAGGTGCCTTTATATGTAACCCAGTCTCAGCTGGTAGCTGCTTTTTTTTTTTTTTAATTAAATTACTGAATTCAAAGTCTTTCCTTTTATACTCCTATAATTTAAATAATGACAACAGTTTGACCAATAGCTGTCAATAAGAAGAACACAGCTAACTTAAATTAGTTCTTTATTGAAGATGTTTAAAAAAAAAACCTGGGGTGTGAATGTTTTGTCAACCTCAGGAAGCAAGCATTCCCTGGACACCCACATAGGACAAGGCATTTCCTTCATACATCCGTGTACTGTGTGGATACATAGAAGTAGATAAAATTGCTATTATTTTTGCTTCTCTGGTACAATGGGGAGCAATGGAGAGGTCCCCATGCTTTGGGGACTAAAAGATGGAAGCAAGAGAAGCCTAAACCCCAGCTCTGGTTGTTTTTTGTTGTACATCAAGCCCTCTGTTCTCAGTCACAGCCCAAAAAGCTGATTCTGCAGGCATTCTTCCCAGCCTCAGAGGAACTGGGGATATGGCTCCAAAGCCCACACCTAAGTCTTAATTCTACCTGTCTCACAATAAATATTTATTTAGCTGATTGAAAAAAAAAAATCTGAGTTTGGTTTGCTATCATCAAGGAGAATCATTGTCTTTCTGCTTTCCATGAGGATACCAACACAGCCTGACATTAATCAGAAAGGTAGTTTGGCATTTTAGGGAGAGAAGCTGATGCCTAATAGATGAGAACAGCGAGTAAACCCTTGAGGCAGCAGCCACTACACAGACAAAGAGGTAATGAAAAAATCAATGTGAAGTAGCATCAGAGGGAAAAGGGGAATTTAACTTACATCCCCAGCAAACTCTGCTGGCTGACTGTTATAAGGGGTAACGGCTGCAAGTGAGTCGATTTATAAAAGATATAAAAGAAATTCTTCCATGTGAGAGTGGTGAAGCACTGGAACAGGTTTTCCAAAGAAGCTGTGGATGTTCCATCCGTGTAAGAGTTCAAGGCCAAGTCGAATGGGGCTCTGAGCAGCCTGGTGGAAGGTGTCCCTGCTGATGGCAGGGGGACTGGAGCAGGATGGCATTTATGGTTCCTTCCAAACCAAGCCATTTTATGATTCTGTGACTGTTTATGGTTTTGATCCTATACTTAAATTGTAAAACAAGTCCAGGATTCTTTTTCTCCCTGTAATTACTATGTAGACTAAATCCTAACCTCAACTATGGTCCATTTGCTATCTGTGTGCTGGTTTACCCTATGATTTCTAATCCTATCCCAACAAATGCCTGACAGCATGATTTCAGCAGTGTAGAGCACACCTTGCCTTATAGGAGCTCCAAGCAGAAACAACATTTCACCAACACAGTATAAATTGCAGGCCCAAAAATCACTGTTTCAGATAGGTTTTCAGGCATATCATCAGGTTTGGATAACTTGTAACAGCCTCAAGTAACAACTACAGTCACCCTTTACCCTGTAACAATTTTAACATGAACACTTTTCTTCTAAACCATGTGTTAGCCTAAATCTCAGGTCATGGTATATTTGTTGCTTTCTCTTTCATTCCTTTGTTTTCTCCTTCTAACTCTCCTAATAACTGGGCAGGTAATTTTGATCAATTGTTAGAAAACCAGAAAATCTATGACAGGTAGCTATACCAACATAAATCACCCTCCTAGAGCTTACATGGGTCTTTCATTGAAATTCACCAATATAACAAATGATAAGAGAAATAATAATACACTTTCAATATAGAACAAAATATTCAAATCAACAAACTATATAGTAAATTTTGTAAAGTGCACAAAATATTAATGGAAATATTAAAAAAAAAAAAGGTTTTTAATGTTACCATGAAAACTTCTGAAATATCATTAAATTAGATAGAAATAATCTAATGAGACTTTTTGGCTCTAATATATGGGTAGACAGCAGCAACAGTTTTTTAAAAAAATTACACCAACAAAATACACCGTATCTTAGCAGCATAAAAAAAGGTTCCTACAATTAGATAAAATTGTAGGCCTAGTAAGCATGAATCTGATAAGATGTTCCAAATACAGTTTTCATTAAAAGAATGGATTTCCATGGAATCCTAGAGGTAACATTTGTTATTCTGGTTACATTGTATTCTAGTAGTAAACCCAACTATAGCCAATCCCGCTCCCTCCCTCTATCTTCCCAAAATTGCACAGAGTACTGAAAATTTAATTAAGTTATAAGATATGGCCACACTGAAAAAGCCAAATGAAACAAGATTCAGCCTAAAACCTAAAAACAAATGACCCCAGCACACAACAATCATTGTCAAAACCACCGCAGTTTCAAACAACCGAGCGATGCTCCCCACACACGTAGATGGCACTGGGCCGGATGCGCCGCCTTGTGTGGCCAGGGAGCTGTGGCAAGAACTTGAAAAATCTGGGCATCAAGTCTAAGCATGCATCATGAAACTTCTTAATCCTCCAGTAGTAAATCAGCGGGTTCAGTGCAGACTTGAGGTAGCAGAGCCAAAGGAGCCAAGTGCTTATCTCAAAAAAGTTGTGCTTGTAGTAGAAGTGGCTGTTGAACGTGGCAATAAGGCTGTAAGTGGTGAATGGTGCCCAACAGACTATGAAGACAAGGAACAAAATCAAGATGGTTGTGAAGGCACGAGTTTTAAAGCTCATATCAATATTCATCTGAAAAGGTCTCTGTAAGCTCATGAGACCAAGTTTGCTGGCCTGGCTGAGACATATGCTATCAGGGTGGCTATGGATACGAACCGCGTTGTGGCGGACAGTGTTGAGTATGCCCATAAAAGAATACAGCATTACCAGGAATGGAATAAAAAAAGAAATTAGCAAGATAATTATCACGTAGGCTCGGTAACCTGGGCTTGTAGAGTAGCCAAAAACACACTGAGGTGCTCTCGAAGGTATTTGCAGGTTAGGATTCCCTACTGATAACGGAAACGCAACAACAAAGGATGCTGCCCAGGAAATCACAATAAGAATCTTTGCACGGTAGGGGTTCAGTTTGTCTTGCCTCTGAACTATGATAAGAAATCGGTCAATACTAATAATAAGAAGAATGGCTACCCCCTCTATGACAAAAAGCCAGAAGAACATGGCAGAAACTCTGCAAAATATATCCCCAAAAATCCACTGAGTGGTAATGATTGTTATCAGAGCAAATGGCATGTTCAGCACTGCCAGCAGCAGGTCTGCAAAAGCCAGGCTTGCTAAGAGGATATTAATTGCAGATCGCATAGCTGCCTTCTGGTAGACCATCAGGCAGACAACAAAGTTTCCAAGGAAAGAAACCAATAGGATAAATATCATAGCAGCAGAAAGAATGATCTGAAGTGGCAAACTCAAGCTCCTGAAAACTTCTTGTGATGGCAGGATAGCTGTGGTGTTTACCAGGAAAGTAGTTCTCTCAGTGGTGAGCACAGCACCTGAACTATATCTCAATGGCTGTGTTGTGCCACTGTGAAGCAAGAACTGGGGAGTGGTAAAATTCGTATAGGCATTTTCATAAACAATGAAAGTAGTATTTGAGGTCCCAGAGTGGGCCAGTGTCAACATTGCTGAGAAAACCATTGCTTCAGGAAAAATGAAAACAGAACCAAAGGTCTTCAAGGCATTTCATCTTGTTCAGGCAGTATTTTGAACTGGTCATGTAACAATCAAAATTCAAGGTTTGAAAGCATCAAAGTTCTTAAGTTCATGTCAGTATTTCCATCTGAAAAAGAAGAAAGAAATGTAAATACACAAAGTAAAACTCTCTGAAACCAGTGGGAACCTAATGACTGCTCAGCTTATCTTAATGAGAACAGTATCCTTAATATATCTTTACACTTCAGGTTGACACAATTTACTTAAGCACCAAACATGGGAGTCTCGTAATATTTGGCCTTTCTCTCATAGGTCGTATTCCCATAGTCCTTCTGATACTGTAAAATACTCTCAACTCACCACGCTTTTTTTCTACCATTACCAAGACTGAGAACTTTTGTGTTTGAAAACAAACTTCACTGATTAAGAGTGAATAAATCAAACAAGTATTTTTATTTAAATCTCATAATTTTTGAACTAACTTTGTTACTTTGTTTTGAAATTGCCTACAGGTGGAAACTTTAATAAAATTTCTAAATAGCTTAAATAGTACCAGTGTATTGCCCATTTGCCTGTTTGGTAAGCACTGAAAGCCTGTTTATCCAAGTTATTGCACATAATATAGAATTCTTGGCTCATAATATAGAATTCTTGGCTCCATGTCAGTCATCCACATCAGACATGTCAGGAAAAACATGCAAAACATCCTAGCCTGTTATTATGAAATAACTCATCCACAGATAAAATAATTTCTCGGTTTGTTTCATTAGGGGCTGACTCACATTATGGTGCAGGAAATCATCACTTCTTTGGTCACTACAACTCTTCCTCTGGCAGTAAGTTTTCCAGCTTCCACTGGTCTGGGCATGTTTTTGTTAGTTCATCTTAGTATCCTATATAATTTAACTGCATGCGCTCTCTTTTTCCTTGTAAATATAATCCTTGGACATCCTGCTGGACTCCCTCCCTTGTCACTATAGTAATAGAATGGTTTGGGCTGGAAGGCACTGTAAAGATCTAATTCCGATGCCCCTGCTCTAGCAGAGACACTTTCCACTAGACCAGGCTGTTCAGAGCCCCATCCAACGTAGCCCTGAACACTTCCAGGTACAGGACATGCACAACATCTGTGGGCAATCTGTACCAGTGCCTCAACATCCGTGAGCAACCTGTACCAGCACCTCAGCAGTCTCACACTAAAGAATGTCTTCCTAATATCTAGTGTGAATCTCTCATCCTTCAGCTTAAGACCATTGCCCTGACCTTGTAGAAAGTCCCTCTCCAGCCCTCCTGCAGACCCCATAGGTACTGACACAATGCAACATTTCCTTTTATAATTTACAAGCACTGTCTTGATGCATTATTACTACTAGTACTATATTGTTACATATATTTGTATGTACATATTCTTAAATAAAATGCAAAGGAGTTGAGAGCTCTCTCTTTTCAGTACTAGTTCCTCCCCTCTGTCTTGGACTATTAAATTAAACACTCTAAGAGAACACTGGCATCTGATCAAGCTGGAAACCAGAAGGATTCTATGCCCTTTTCAAAAAACGATCACTATAGCCAGAACATAAAGTGGGCTTCACCTCATTCATTCTTGATGTCTGCAATAATCCCTTCTGGCTGTTTTCATGTTTATCATTAGAAAAGGGATAAAGGCATCTTCAGAGAGCAATCTCTCCATCTCTGCACACAATGACAAGCTTGTGCTACTAACACAAGCACCTTACAGTAGCACAAACCCTGCCCACAATATTTATGCAGGTTCTGTTTAGTATCACTGTCAGGCAAAAATAAAGAAAGGAAGAAATGCTTTTTATGAACACAAAGGACCACAAGCTTTGTATAGGATACTTCACCAACAAAGAAATTAACCTTGTTGTAAGACAACAAAGTTTAATCTATGTCCCCAGTTTGAACTTCTAGCAATTTGAAAGCAAGTCTGCTCAGGCTGCTGTCAAGATTCATCAAATAACATAGGCACTATGACCTGCTCCTTTCATTCCCTGACTATCTGCAAGCTCTATCACTAGATGATTTCCAGGGCCAGACTACCATCAGCATTTTTATTTCAGATAAACGATTAACCTCTCTGTGTCCTTTAATTTTCAATGGTATCACAAAAAGACATTATTATAAACATCCTAATTTAATTGACTCTCATGGTGGACTGATCCTGGCTGGACACCATGTGCCCACAAGAGCCACTCTTTCACTCCCTTCCTCAACTGGCCGGGGAGAAGAAGTATTACAAAAGGCCTGTATGTTGAAGTAAGAACAGGGAGAGATCAACCACCTGTTACTATGACAGGCAAAACCTCAATTTCGGGAAATTAAATTATTATCAATTAAATCACAGTAGGGTAATGAGAAAATAGAGCTAAATGTTAGAAACGCCTTCACCCCACCCCTCCCTTCTTGCTGAGTTTAAGGTTCTGCCTAATTATCTCTATCTCCTCCCCACCAGCAACACAGAGGGACAGGGAACAGGGGTTGCAGTCAATTCATCACACGTTTTTTTCTGCTGCTCCTTCCTCATCAAGGGAAAGACTCAAACTCTTCTTCTCCTCCAGTGTGGATTCCTCCCATGTGAGACAGTCTTCCATGAACTTCTCCAATACAAGTCCTTCCCACAGGCTGCAGTTTTTCTTGAACATTCACGTATGGGTCCCTTCCACTGACATTGGCTCTACTGGTCATAGAGGAAGCTTCTGGCAACTTCTCACACAAGCCACTCCTGTAGCCTCCCCACTACCAAAACCCTGTCACACAAATCCAATAGAGAGTCATAAAAAGTCCACTTTCTGGAGGTCTTACTGCTTGAACAAAAGTTATAATTTTCTATTTTTTCCTATTGTATTTAAAAGATTGCAAAACTCAGAAAAGTATATAAAGCTATTGACATTAATATTTTGCAAAAATGACCAATTCCATTGACTTTATAATAGATTTTTTCTCTCCATTCTTTCTCTTTAAATTTTATTTTTACACTAACTCCATTAGAGAAAACCTCAATGTTAATTACATGCTAAAGCATCTATACTAGCCAAAGCTCTTCTTTCTTTTATCTATATAAACTTTTCCTCTACTAGTCTTTAACATTTTTTAGAATAAAATATGTAACCAACAGGAAAAAGGTTAACAGAACTTTCCAGAATAAATAAGAAATATTTTAGCAGTGAACAAGAAAATCTCACCCAAAGTTCCACTGAGGTTTATGATTCCACAAGCTGAGAACACCATGAAGGAAAGGAAGCTGTAGCATTCTGCAGGGACTGCAAAAGAACATAAATTCAACAAATAATTCTGGACTTAAAATCTTGGAGCAAGAAAATTAGATCCCTAGGGTAGTATCTTTTAAAGCTGTGTAAGTAATAAGTCAGCAAAGGTAACTTCTACACTTCTGATTGACTTGTATGGGTCTTTCCACCAAGGCTCTAAAAGAAACTAATCTGCCATTACATAAATGTAAAACCCTCCTACAGACAATCAGTTTCACATAGGAAACAAAAAAAAGGAGCAGTTAGTTTTATAGAGAGAAGAGATCACCAGAATGATCCTACAAATAAAATCCTTACTGGGGTTCAAGCTCTTTAATCTACAGAGAAGAGGGAAATGCAAAACCATGACATTTGCTGATGATGAACACAAACTGTTTTTCAGGTCAATTTAATAAAAACAAAGGTCAACTATAAAAAAATACAGAGGGCTCTCTCAAGAGTTAGTGGCAAGCTAACCATCTACCCCACAAAATTCAGCGCTAGAGATAAAGCTATGCCTGTACTGAAAAAAGTATCTGCACAGTAACAGTTGCTATACCAATATTTACTACCCAGAAGAAAAACAGATCTTCAAATTTTCATAGTCTGCTCTAGGAAAACATCAGCCATGTGTTCAGAATTGTTAGCAAAGGAACTGAGAAGAAAACCAGGAGCCAGCTATATATACTGTATATTTAGATATACCACCTGCTAAAATACACATCTATGGCATCTCTTTCAGTACTATGTTCAGTTCTGCACCACTTGATCGCTACTAAAAAGTAACTGAAAAAAGAGATCATAGAGGTCTACCAAGTTTTTAGTGACATAGGGAAAGTGAATGACTGCTCTCTCTCATAAGAATAGAAAAAGTCAAAGAAATCACAAAACACCTCTGGAGATCATCTTCTCCAACCTCTCCAATCTCTCTGCTCAAGCAGGGCTGTCTAGTAGAGGGCCACAGTAGAGAAAACTGTCTCCTGATACTCGGGGAATTTCCTGTTTCAGTTTCTGCCCACTGCCTCTATCACCTGGCACCACCGAAAAGATCTTATCTCTGTCCTCTTTGTATCCTCTCTTCAAGTATTTATATACATTGATAAAGATTGTGCTACCCTGCATTTCTCAAGTCAGTAGCACCCAGAATACAGCAAAGGACAAAGGACTCACAAACTCTACAGTTTATTCCTAACAAATCCAAAAAAACAAAGAAAAAAAAATAATTTCACACATGTTCTCCCACCATCCCAGCTCTCTGTGCTAATAGCTACATCCCCTTTTGTGCATCTAACCTAGTAAAAGGACTGCAGGCTTTGGATTCCATGTTGCTCCTGTGCTCCTTGCTTCCTGATGGCTTCCAGCAGTACTCTTCTCTGTGTTCTGTTTATCACTCTGAGTATGAAGTGTGTGCAGTGCACACAGAATCTGCATGCTTCGATTTGGATTTACACTTACTTAACCTGCAGACAATGCTCTTTCTTGGCTATCATCCTTCATGGAAGTGACTGACCAATTCAGCCAATAAACTCAATAGCTTCCATTCTGTTGCCACCATACATAAATTTTTCTCCTTTTTTTTCTCTCTACTTAAAGGCCTTCTTCCATGAGCATGCACACGATAATTAAACATGTGCCTCCACCATTCTTCCTACCCTTCTCCAAAATTATGTAAAGATAGAAATATAAGACGAAAGAAACGAATGAGATAATTTCAGAGCAACAGCATTTCAGTCCTCACTTGCTCTTTGAGAAAGGCAAATCCTGTCATTTCAAAGCCCCAGTCCTCACTGAATAGTAATCACGCAGCTTGTAAAAGACAACCATGCTTTGATAGTTTAAATGGGTAAGTCTACTGATGGTCAGGTACTCAAGCAAGAGGCAGATAGGCACCTTTTCGTCACAGCATTCTCACTTTTGGAACATGTACTCTAACAGATTCTTTTCAGATGCAAAAAAGTTTCATACAATCACTTTTTTCAATTTCAGTGCTGAAATTTACTGTGTATGCACATTTTCTCTCAAGCAAGGTTCTCACTCAACTTTCTTTTTATGGAACATAATAGACACAATTTCAATGAAGTACATACTTAAAGCTAAATAACACACAAATTCCATTCATCAAGTATAATTATTGCTAGAACTATGGCGTCTGTTTTTAACAGCTTTAGAAGCTAAAAGGTTCCTGTGCAAAATTTGGATAGCATGCTCAACTGGAAATAAAAGATTATATGTTATATACAAAGCTGACATCAGTCAAAGCCAGGAACTCCAAAAAAGACAAAAGGGGGAACATAAGAGTGCCATAATAACAGTTAAGTTTAACACAGATCAGAACACACTATGAACAGCTGCCAAAATGTTCAATGACTTATTAAATTTGTCTGCTAAAAACAAGCATGTATTGGCAACATTGACCAGCATCAAAATTCAGCATGCAAAAATGATTCTTATTCAGAAACCTGAAGGCAGCACTGCCTGGAACAGTGATCCTATTTTTTTGGGATATTTTAAGTGGTCCCAGAAGCTTCTGCATGCTTTATAGCTCCTATTAATGGTTTCATTTTACAGGCAAACTTTGGCAAAAAATTATTTTTTGCAACATAAAGAACATTTAAAAAGCAAAATATTCTTAGGGGAAAAACAATAAAAAGAAGCATGAAGGACATGGGCTTATTTTGTTTTCCAAAGAATTTATGTGCCACAAGAAAATACTCGAGTATGTACTCTCCAACACCACATTATCGTACAAAGCAGCCCAGGATGTACATCCCTCTAAATACGAATCAAGCATTGTTCCCTATGCAATTAAGGAGAGGCAGGAAGATGTTACAATGGAATCCCTTCTGCTAACACTAGTGAAAAGAATGAGTCAGAGCACAAAGCAGCAGGGACAATGTTCTTACTCACCTAAAAGGAACTAGCAGTTTTCAATTTTAATACCTATTTACATATAACCTAAATTGAAACTAATCAAGTACACTGCATGAGTAGATGACCCATAAAGCTGTTCACAAGAGGCATTACTTTAATTTAGGAAATTGTTCTTTTTTCCACTCTATAAACACTGCTGTGGCAATTTTCATAGGGAAGTAGTGTGGGAAACAGTGACCTCTGCTTTGGGTCATTCAGTACAACTAATTGCCCTCTCAATGATATTTCCTTATGACCTTAATTCAGAGAGCCATTAACCGTCAAGAAACGTCAGTCACGGCAATCATTATCACTACTGTAAACCACAAATATTCAAAATGTAAAAAACAATTCTATTATCTTAGCTCTTGGGAAAAATCATGTTCTCAAGTTGCAGATCATGTGAAAGGACTTGGGCAGTTCTAGGTTCATTTCTAGTTCTGTCATATTTCCCCTGACTTCTAACTTTCCCACTAGTTCTATGGTCACATTAACCATAACCATGATGAAGAGCTGAATGAGTACTGTATACCTTGAGCAACAGTAAACATTGAACATTATTGAAAATATACTATTTTAATTAATATCCTTTGCCTAGTTATTAACATGCAACTAAGAAGTTGAAAGCTTCCTAAAAGATTGGATTCCTAAAATTTAAGTGGATCTTTGAATTATGCATGCAATCTCTATATGTCAGTGTAGCAAAAAAAACCCCCAAAAAACTAACACACAAAACCAAAAGCATACCAATCCAGATAGGCTGCCATGAAGAGCAGGAATCATAAGTCATCTTGTGCTGTTTTATTCAGCTAATTATTGTTCTCCCAAATAACCTGTCAAAAAAAAAAAAAAGTGACATATTTACATTCAAGGCAGGACAGGAGCAGAATAGCAAAGTTTTCCCTGTAATAAAACTATATTTTTATATAGTAGAATAGTAGAATATAGTAGAAGTAGAATATATAGTAGAAGTAGAATATGCTGTGTATCCTGACAGAAGGCAGACTGCATGTTCCCCTTCTGGCAGAAGGTACAGAAAGGACTAAGGCATCAAAGTTTCATCAAACCAGAGACTCTCAGCTACATCACCTGTGGATCGTAGGAATCTCACCATTTCATACTGTATCTGTCAGGGTTGGAGTAACATGTCTTACCAGGTTTCATTCAGCTATGTTTTATTTCACCTGTAGACAAGCACACAGCAGCCAGCTGCCATAAGTCTTACTGGATGTATCAAAATTAATTCTTACCCTTAACCATCAGGATCCTGATCTTTATGTCCTTAAAGACGCCCAAAACAATAACATTTAAATCTACTACTGAGCATCATAAAGAAGGAAAATAAATTTTCCCCAAACAGCAAAGATAACAGGATTGTAAAAACAAAGGACAAGAAAACAGGTCTACAGAGGAAGAATAAACCTTCCTTTACATGTGCCTGTACCAATCAATCATCATCACACAGCTAATCAGATAGCTAAATTAGTTCTGCAAACTGGGCCTAACATAGTTAAAAAGCTGCATATTCTGTCATGAGTTTACATGCATGTTTTTAAAAGGCTACAGAACTTAATATCTGCAAGAATAAGCTTTAAGAACATCTCTAAGTCACCTCCACACTGGAACAAAAGATATCAAGATCCTTCAGGAACAGGTTTCTAAATAAATGATGTACACAGGTGCTGAAGGACAAACCAGCCAATGAGTTTACAACGGCCTCCAGCAAGGGAAGCAACAACAACAAGCTGAACTCCAGACTGCCCATTATGTACTGACCCCTCTGATCATTCAGTGCTGAGTTGCTGTATCTGCAGCCAACTCAACACAGACTTCAAAGACCCAAAACATAAGGCTTGATTTGCCAGACTGGAGTCTGCTGAGACATCTGCCGTCTGCAGAACACATTATCTAGCCACAAGGGAAGCTGGTGTCTGAAAGATTTTTCTGATAATCTATTAATACAAGTTGTTTTCCATGAGCACAAGAATTCAGTCTTCGCATTTATTCCACAGAAAAAAGAGGAACCTATGTATAAAAGAGATAAAATGTAGCCATTGGATTATTACGGACTTTCTCCATTGGCTTTGCTCCCTCTTTAGTGAGGGTAAACTGGTAATCTTCCCTCTTCTGCTTTCTGAAGTGCCAAAGAAATGAATATGTTTATAGGAGCCTGGACAAGATTAAATACCTCAATAACCTGTAAGATCTTCCTACCAGACAAGCACATCCTCTGACACAAGAGCCATTTTCAATCGCTACTTACATGATCATAGAAAATATTCCCAACTCTCACTAAAATAAAAGTATCTTTAAAGTCAATTTACACAAGTATCTGTAACATCACAATGAACTAGGAATTTTTTTCACTTCAAGCCTCCAAGAAGGAAAAAAACAGAAGTACTTTCTCAAAGTAAATCTGGAAAATTTTATTAAATTAGAGTATCTTGCAGAGCTTGCTGGGCAAGATTGCTTTGGGTAGTTTTCTGCTGACAGTTAAGGGTTAACACTGTTTCATAATTAAATTCTTTTTTTTTCCACTCCATTATAAATGATTAGTCAGACTTTTTTCTAAGAACAGAGAGGAAAAGCTTCGTAACCCTGCATGAAATTTGAGTGCAAGGACTCCTGATCCTGCAAAGAGCTCTACTTGTGGAATTACAACCTTGGTAATATCAGTGTTTCGATCTGGCAGAGCTACTGATAGGCTAGTCCTGACCTTTTCCTCCTTCATTCACTTATTCCTGAACCCAGCTCCCCAGTCCCAAAGCAGAAGGAATAGACTGGACTAAAACAGAGCCTAGCAAGCAAATTTAAAAGCTTCACATTTTTAGCCTGAAGCTATAAGATGCTGGGGAACACAAAAGAAGGCTTAAGATGTAGATTTAGCTTCTACATACTAAGAGGTATTTTAATTCAAGACAGTCTGTCCTGTGCCACAAGCAAGAATGCTGCAAAACCCGTACTTACTGAGAAAAATTTGCATCTTACTTTGATTCCCCAAACCAGGAGCTGTCATTTCCAAAGAACTGAAACAGTGGAACTGAAAATCACAGAGACCTTAAACATAATTAAACTTAAAGGTGTTTTCCATAAGTATTCAGATTACATTAAAGACTGAGCAAGAGCCTAGAGAAGATCAGAAATATTATGAAATTGCATTTCAAATTAGTTGTAATTTTGCTATGTACTTTATTGACAATTCTCTGCGTCTCCTCATGCCTAGTCTGTAGCCATATTTTATCAAGTTTTCCTAACATTTTCTTGGGATACTAAGTCGAACCACAGGCAACAATGAAGTGAAATACTGAAAGCTTACATCCTTCACAAAAGAGTCAGTCCATCAGAAGATAATAAGCAAGTAAAAAAGTCTGCTTCAAGTCAGAAAGAGTTGTCCTGAGGCTATTTTGGCTTTTCAACTACAGAAACTTCTCTACTATATTCTCTGAATGAAAGACTGAGCTCTGTGAAAATGTTCCACTTTCATATACCTTAAGGTAAAGATCTAAAGGCTCCTTGCATTACATCATTCTTACTTCCTCTGTAGCGAGCCAGTATACCCAATATACACTATTGCATTGCCTTCTGCTAAAAACAAGCAAAGATGATTTTTTTTGTCTGTAGTTTGGACAACAGCTGTTAGCATACTTTCTTCTTTTGTAAGCAAGGGCTTAAAAAATTCATTTTATAAAAATGGTAATGCCAGCAGCAGCACTCTGCACTGGTGGAATATAAGCTGTCTCTCCCATAGAAACATGCCTGTTTCTTGAAACAAAATTTATTTTAACAAAAATTTATCTCTTTACAAAAAGATGCAGGGATAGTAGTGAAAAAGTGATTAGAATGACCAGATGTGTACACTCTTTGCACAAGTTCCTGGGATTTGATTTAGCTCCTGGAGAAAAGCAATCAGACCTGCTTCTGTTTTTCCCTCAGGGATTCAGGTCATGCTAGAGCCAAGTTCTGTGCCTGCCCAGGAGTCTTGCTGCTGCAATACAGGCGTTATGGATCTCACTTCCTGGCACTTGGCTCACATGGAAGAGGTGCTGGTAGCAAGTCAAATGAGGTGACCCCTACTCACAGCATCCTGCTCTGAGAGTACTCAAAGGCCACAATGGCAAGATTTAGCTGTGAACTAAGCAAAGATTTACTTTATATGCTTACTTATAAGTTTTCTTCTCATACATATACACGTGTATATATTTCCAATACTTATTATCATCTCTCTTCAACCATAGACAAACATAAAATGTTTAATAAAAAAAAAATCTATTAAAATGAGCTACATGTTATTATTGTAACAGAGAATAAATAAACTACAGAATTCTTGGAGTTATCTGTATCATCTAATTGATTTGATAGCTTCAGAATTATTTTTGGGTTATGCTAGCCAACTGGAATAAAACTTTTAAGACAGCAACCATTTTGGAGAAACAATCCTAGTCAGAAATCTATTCACACTAGAGATCAAAAGACAGTTAAATTAAGAGTTCCCATCTGGACAAGTCTCAGGGTGAGATGACATATACCAGATATTCAGACCCTATGCAATAACAATTGCACGAGGCACTTACAATTTCTGTACAGACCCAACAAGCAGGGCTCGTAACATGCATCCCAAAGAGATAAAAAAAATTGATTACATTTGCAAGCTAAAACATTTAAATGAGCTAGTCTGATGATTTTTAAAGCACACTTTTTTCTATATAATACAAGAGATCAGTACTTCAATTTTTTCTGGGCTTTTAAATTATAAAAATGCAAAGCAAACAAATATGTGCATCAACTGAAGAACTCAAATCCTTTTAAGGAACACTTTTTTTAAAGTACCTTATAATTCCTTGTTATAAATAAATTAACAGCTAATCGAAGGGATTTTTGTATACTCATTAGTTCCGTGCTACTTGAGACCTTTTAAACAAACAGAAGACCAAATCAAATGCCTTCCACAGGTAGCTACAGCAGTTCTGAGTTTAAGAACTTTGTATTTAAGAGAGGTTTCTTTCTTAAGAAAAAGCTCCTTCAGTAATAAATTAGGGATTTTCACACTATTTTTAAAAAGTAGAGAAATAAAAAGCCAAAAATCTTCAAAAACACCACACCCCCAAAAAGAACAAACCAACCAACCCCAAAAAACCCACTGAAAAATAAAAACATCCCAAATCCCTCAAACCTACAAAGAGAAGTATTACCTTACCAGAAAGGTGCAATCCATTATTCCCTGTTGTTTTCCATTTTTGTAGCTAAAGATCATATTTCCCTACTCAACCAAAGGCTGTTTAAGTATGCTCAACTAATGAATTTTGCAAATAATAATAATAAAAAGTGTTTCCTCAGTTATGGAGAAGTTTATTTTGTCTCTATTTAGATATGAAATTGAATCTGATAAAATACGGTATTAAATTTATCATCCTGCACCCAGAATAACTCTAAATAGCAAAAATGTAACATATAACTTCTAATTCAATTACAACTGTTCAGTAACAGCTGAAAAATTCAGACCAGGAGACTCTATCAACCTTCTAAAACACCGAAACACACAAAAGTTACAAACAACTCAAAGTTATGGGCATGATTTATAAGAAAACAAGTGCAATGACATCTGCCACGAGATCAGAAAATTAAACCCTTGCCTCTATGCTCTCTATAAATCTCTTTATAGACACCAACAATAATGCTGAAATTAACATTATTCAGCATAAGACATCAAAAACAAAAAAATCAGAAGTTATGCTTCTCCTGTATTTCCAGCTCAGGAGAAAAGAAGAAAAAAGTTCTTCTAAAGACCCAGCTTTCTCATGGGTCCTACTGCTTCTTCCACCACACAGTGAGCACA